GCAATTGCCCAGTATCGGCACTGATACAGATACTGTTATTGGTGCATCACTAATATACAGTAAAAGCCCTAAAAAGACAGGAAGTCACAAAAGGGGGTGCATGCTTTTCTCTTGGCACCAAAGAAGGAACACTAGTCCGTAGGGAATAAAAAGCACAAATAGGCACATTTATAGTTCATTCACTTTTTATAGTTTATAAAACATGTTACACTCAATCCACTACAATGAAAAAAAAACCAACAATCAGCTTCCACTTGTTAATAGATGGAGAGGTTTATTTTGTACAATACTCATAGGTAAACAGAGGTTACATAACAGTCTGGTTCTCTTTGGGCACAATACTGGGCAGATTATGTAGCTTTATTAAACATTAACATAGTACGCCTGGCACTTCTTTATGCTTCACCTCACAGAAAGCTAGTGAACACCAAGACAGACGGAGGTCAATACAGAAGTCATGTTTAGAAGTAAATATTACAAAATAAAATTTAAGCTTACCGGTAGAAAAACATTAATACTGTCAGTTATATAAAAACAAGTTTTAAATAGTCACACATGATATTTATACAATACTAGATCTATAGTATGTAGACAGTGATAGGCTCAGAGTCTTTAATAAAGTGTGAGATATGGGAGGAGCGCCATATAAAAAGGGGTTAACACTGTAGACAGCCAAAATAAAATATAAGTATGTATTCAAACATGGTGGTTTTAGATGTTTTTTAAATATACATAATATTGCCAATTAGTGGTAATGAAAGGCAACATTCACAGGCCTGCAATGTGGAGGTATTAAACGTAGTCTATAAATGAAGCAAGCAACATACAGCACTACAGGTACACATCTCTTCTCACACCATTACAGTGCATTTCTGTACAAGTGAACAATTCCACGGTCAATGCACACAAACCTGCACAATGTAATGCTTTTGTGCTAAAATGTTCAAGTTGACCAATGCCACACGAAGGGTTTGTTCACACAATAGCTGGACGTGTTTCTGCAAACATGGGCATGTGCATTTAATTCTCAGTTTTTAGGTGCGTTCCAGTGCGCTTGCATGTGTTTATATGCATTTTTGTGCGTTCCAGACCAGAAAAAATGTGACAGGCTGAACTTTTTTTTTGGAAAGCTCTGGAACTGAACGCAATGGTGTGAACTAAACCTAAAAAAAATCATTGGAATCTATAGGGATGTGTTTTCGGATCAGGCAAAAAACATTCTGGTCTGGAGATAGGGTGAACAACCCCACCCCTAAAAGGGTTTTCAAAATTGCAAATGAAAATGAACAAATCTCGCACTCCACAATTATACACCGACTGGCCAGATTATTATGACCACCTGACGTTTGGAGGCAAATGAGCTATAATTAGCTATAATTTTGCGCTGAAGTTGCTAGAGGGCCAGACCATTATAAATAGGGAAGCAGGTTGTTTACCACGAGAGTAGGTGATTTTTTTCTGACGATATGGGTAAACAACGCGATTTAACATCCTTTGAACGTGGGATGATTGTTGGCGCTCGGAGCCATGGAGCGAGTATCAGCAAAACAGCAGAATTCGTTAAATGTTCAAGAGCAGCTGTTGTTAAAGTGTTTAAAGACTGGACTGTCAGCCAAAAATATGGGTCTGAACGTGCGAATTGTGGCCGTCAGCGACTAGTCAATGTTAGGGCAGAACGGAGAGTGGCAAGACTGGTACAAGACAACAGAAGGGCAACAGTGCAGTGTCAGATTCCTCGCATCACCTTTCAACATCTCGTGGAGTCACGTGGCGGCCCAACGAAGTCATCTCGTGGCCCAACGAAGTACTGATGGGGTGGTCATAATAATCTGGCCACTCAGTGTATATGCCATAGTCAAGTCTTACGAGGTTAGTTCACCTTTAAAATCACCTTTACATCAGAGTACCTATGTATTAGGACTTCTGTAGTATATAATAAAGCCATCCCCAGGATTAAAAAGAATGCTTCATTTCCAAGGTATACCTGTAGGTCATGCACAGTCCATCTCCAGCCTGTGAACTTCTAGAGTGAGTGTCCCTCCCCAGCCCCCACAACAGCACAGGAACAAGCGACCTCTGCCTCACTCAAATCCTGCGGATATGCAGTGCATACTCTGTCCCAACAGTGCTGAGCTTAGATGCTGCTGTGACAGAGGGAGAGAGCGCACTGCACATGTGCCTACAGGTATACTTTGAAATGAAGTATCTTTTTTAAAACCCACGCACTGTTTTTATAATATACTACAGAAGCTGGAATGCATAGGCACATTTTTTTGGAAAGGTAGACTAACCATTTAATGCTCAACTCCAGACACAAAAACGTAATTTAAACATATTCCTTGATAGCCGTAAAGTATAAAAACACACTTTGCAGCATGCCTTTGAAATCCCAGTTATTACCTTGTAAAATAGTGGTTACATATTCCCTGTGGAGAGAACAGAGCTGTGGGAGGGATCCTAAAGGTCTACCCAATATAGGCAGCGTACAGAAAACGACAGGAGGGGGGCAAATACAAGACCTGTCACCCTGTACAAGGAGAGAGCAGCAGCAGTGACTGGTCTTTATTACAGAAAGTTCCTGCACAGAGGCAAAGTTTCATACTGGTTTACTACACTGATTTGGAATACACACAGCATGCCAAGATTCAAGTAAGAATACACATGCTTCGACAATATTGGATTATCCTGGCATTTAGCTTTTGGCTGCATATGCCATTATGTTAGTCATTTGAATGCCCATTTTTAAAGGTGTGTTTCCTGTAATGGATATGCAAGCATTTCTGAAGTCACAATAAAGTAACATCACCCCTCAGTTACTCATATGAGGTGTGCGCCATCATACTAGGAGGCATTGGGTATGTTGGTGCTGGCTGCGATTGAGGAATGATCAGTGGTTGAGTGCTGGAGAGGTAAGTGGCACTGAATGGGTAAGATGCCAGTGCCTCCGAAAGGCTGGATTCACACCACCAACACTGCACTTGAGTTGACTTGCGTTGGTATGCATTTTACAACATTGCATTGATGTGCATTTTTTTCACAGCAGGAGCCAAAATACTTTTTTTATAAATGCGTGCTGTGATGCACTGTAATACACTATAGTTAAATGCAGCATGTTCCATTTTCAACCAGTGTACACCAACGCAGTGCATTGATGTGAAATTGCCTCTTGGGAACCATGCATTTCATTGCTTTGGGCCTGCATTAAGCCACACAGACCAACGCATGTGATGTGAATAGGCCTTTAAAGCATGTCAACCGCTACTAACAAAAGCTTCATTTTTGATCTTTTGCATATCTTTCTTTCCTCTCTCTACTGCATACCCTGGAGGAACAGGCAAGTACTGAGACAATGAGGGTTTTAAAGGGAATGTAGAGTCTTTTTAATGTTTTTAGATATGGATGTCAAAATTAAAAAACAGGTTGATGTGAACAACTTATCATTGTGTGTTTATGTTTTCTTTAACCTTATTTCTGTGTATAGTTTATGATATATGTAAAAAGAAATAGGATTATATATGCTTTCTGCTTTGCAGGGCTACACAATGGTTGCATCTTACAGCTGTTTCTCACGCAAGTCTATGAGGCAGCTAACCCAATGAAAATCATGCACTCCTTATGTGGTTGATGTCTGAGCCCAAGAGCTGCAAAGCAGGAAGGATGAATAACCTCCGTGAAATAAAAATATCCCTATATCCCCATGGTGGCTAGTTTACTGATCTCAATCAGCAGCGCAGCAAAAAATACTGATGAGCAAGAATGTGAAAGTTGCATAATTATATATACAATATACACACACATATACTTTCCCTTTAACATATCCTTCATTCCCTATGTAGTACACATTCATTCCCTATGTAGTACACATTCTACCTGAGAGAATTCCAGAACAGCAACCAGGCTTGTAGGATCATGCTGTGGGTAATACAATGTGTGCTCCATTGGCTGATGAGCAGCAATCACCATGCACTGAAATGCTACCCTTTCTATTTAAAAGTCTGGAAAATGCTTGCTCAATTTTTAGACGCCAACCCTGATTCAAGCGCATTGCCAAAATGTCATGGTCTTGGCATGTTCAAATCCGATTGCTTTTTATGCATTTCTTAATCTGCGATTTCATAAATTGAACCAATCAGGGGGAAATCATACAAAAAGTGGGGTACTTTCAGCAGACATCCATTTCTGAGCAATAGTAACAGATAAGGCCATCATAACTGTGTGGTATGTAACAATTTCTAAAGATAAAACCGTTCCATGATAACAGACATAACATGGAATAGTCACTTTTTTCACTTCAAGTGAATGTGTTTTGCCCTTGCAGGGCAATGTAACTGACTTTAATGCAGGCCTCTCCAGCAGGATACAACTTGTTTCTCTTTCCACCCTTTGGAGCAAACAAATTTAGCTCTGTGCAAGCCCTTCCTCGTGTGACAGCACCAGCCAAATTGCCAAGCACCAGTGCTCTCAAGTGGGAGGAAAGTAGCTAAACTACAGGCTCCCCATACACACAGTACAGGGTATTTTTTCTTCACGCTTGGGATCTGAACAGAGCAAGGGGTAAACAGAGGGAAATGAGTATAAGCTCCAAGTGGGCCCATCACTAACCTGAACCAGCTGCTTTGCTCTACATGGACTGTCAATGCACATTACAGTCTGAATGTACAATATCCTTTAGATTTACTAACAATGCTTTAGTGATGGAAAAATCAGATGGATTATTTAGGAAGGACTCCATGCTACACAGTTGGTTATAAACCTAAAACAGACTGTACAGCAGTTGCACAATTTGACTGTTAAGTGTAGGTATGAGTTTTAGTCAGTGGCAAAGCTTAACAAAAACAGCTATACTGTAATGGCACAATCTATGATGGTACAATCATCCATTAAGCTCCATTAAAAAGCACACAAAATGGCTTCTTTTACAAAAATGTACAGTGTTCTTGATATTACCATCCCTTTAAACTCATTGGGTATCTCATGAGAAATATCCAGTTTTTGAAAATGATGAATTGACATTAACTGAGTGTTAAACAGAACTGTCTGATAATTAGTATGAGATGTGACTCCCTATACAAGTCCAGTATTCTACTGGTTTCCCTAACAAAATATCCTGAGATTATGACATCTATATGAGCCATAGAACTGGATTAGCAGGAAGAAAAAACATCAGCCAGCATGGTCTTATCCAACCTCTGCTCCACCACCTCCAAAATCAAACAACGGTTCTGCCTCCACACTTCCATGGGCTAGAAAATCTTCCAAGACTTTAGCTGGGTCTCGCAGAAAGACCACCATTACGGTGATGTTGTCACTAGAGCCACCCTCTTTTGCTGCAGACACCAGCCTCTCAGCAACATGCTGTCCATCTCCACCATTCTCCAGAAGGTGACCTAGAACAAGACTGGGTACCTCAGAAGATGTCACAACATCATAAAATCCATCACATCCCAAAACCAGGAAGTCTTCAGTGCCACTAAGAACGTGGGTGGTAACATCAGCTTCTCCAGACACGTATGGCTTTTGGTCGATGTCACCTGCAAACAGGTACACACTGTTAGAAGAGAGCAGGAAAAAAATGGGGGGAAAAAAGCATGCCGACAAAAAAAAAAGTATAATTACACTAAAAGAAATTATAGAAAATAAAGTAACACTCTCATAATGGTATCTTAGCTTCTAACAGTATTCAAAAGGAATGTGTTATTTTGGTTTATTCATTTTTATTATGAAATAGATAAGGTTTACAGGATGCAAAATACATATCTAGAAGTGTTACAGCAGTCCTCATACAAAGACAATGGTTATGTTACAACATCATATACTGCAACAGTGGATTGTGTTGACAAGTCATCATGTTAGACATATCACATTCCATGGGTGTGGTGGTGCAAAGAGTAAGAATGGAAATTGGGAAAGATGCATGGGTGGTTGGGCGCCCTGACATTCTCAGGGGTCAAGGGCCTCGTTAGACAGCGATAGTCCCAGCAATCATAGACCAATCAGATGATGGTCAAAATCGCCTGGTAAAAAGTTTGTGATCCATGGATTTCAGATGCCCTTATATTTGGCCATACTATAAATTTTTTGTTGTAATCCAATGTATTTAAAGACTTAATATACCATTTAGACCAAGTTTCATCTTACACCCACTTTACCAACTTATCGCAGCTGCAATGCTCTGCAGGCTTCAATGCAAAAAATGTAATAAATGCAATTTTTTTTAAATTATTATAATATAGGATTTTTTAAGCGCCAACAGTTTCCGCAGCGCTTTAAATGAATGTGCATTAATTACATTTTTGCAAAAGGTGGACTATCAGACACCCTGAGGATATCGGACAGCTAACTGGACAGTTCATGGGTATGGGGTTCTGAAGCAAATTTCGGAGCACAGAATGGACCTTTTTCCTAAGAATAGTCCTAAACTATTGGACAGGTCCACCATGTAAGAAAAAAAAGGGGATTTGTGTTCCTGCCTGGAGATCCGACTAATTGTAGTCACCCTATTGAGGTTTGCATAACTGCTTGTGTATTCCGATCCGTAACCAGGTTAATTGGTACAAAAGAAAAAGGGGTTAACTCGTTAGGAGATAACAAGTTAGTAGTGGTCAATTTATGGATCCGGACAAGCGAGTATGTTATACAAAAATTAATTTTATTTGAAGAAAATATGGAACATCACACTTAGCTCACTCACCACCATTAAAACTGAATAAAATACAGACAATCATAAATTGTATGTGGATCGATCCTCATAAGCACTTGATATAGATTTCACCGTAAGGGGTAATGACCGATGTGTGGATAATGTCGGTCTTTATTCCTTTACAAGGTGACCCATCTATGTACCAACTTGCATGGGCTATATGGACTGGGGGGATATCCCAGGGATGGAAAAATCAGGGATAATTATGCTTTATATTCCGGGGTATAGGTGGAAGGGAAGGATCTGGACAGATTAATGATAGTGATTCTGGTTTCCTCCGTTTGTTATGAAATTATATCATATGATCAATTAATGATATAAGTGTGTTTCCTGTATAACAATCTTCCTAGTTTGGAGGGATGTATATTCACTTTCCTTTCGATTTGTTTCCCTTCATTCATCTTTTATTACAGTCCTCCTTTAGTTTAGTATTTATGGAATAGAGTCTTCCTTGATTTGGTACCGTTGGCTTCAAATTAGCCGTATGTGCAATTGACCCTTTCCTGTTAGTCAGCCGTGGAGTACCATGGTGGGAACGGTGAAGTGAAAACGAACTTTCTGCTAGAGGCAGAGGGGGAAGGGGGAATTTTCTCTCCTGGACAGACTAACACATTGGGCTGTCTTCAATAATTCGCCTGACTATAGTCTTCTCTTTCTCTACAATGTTGAATTTTAAGTGTAGAAGGTATAGGATTTCATATCAGAGTGATATTTCAGACAGTGTCATTGACGGACATAAAACATGAAACTTTTTGTCACTCACGTTACTGAAGTTTTTTTCCTTTTTTATAGTCAGGGCGGTTTGAAGATCTTTTCCTGTGTAGTCTAGTAGTCCATTCAGGTGTGTGGACGTCTTGTTGTTTCCTCAAGGGGATGATTTGTTACGATCTAATCCCCAACAGTGGATTCAGGGGATATTTCCACCTGAAGGATCTTTTAGACAATTTCCTGGAAGTTCTGGGTGTTGTCTGTCCGTTACTGAGAGCCCCTTAACCCCGATTGAAAGCTTAGCAGCGTTCCTTAGATTCTGGATCGTGCATCCACTTATTGTATGATGATTATGTGTCTGGTCTCTGTCTGTCGACGCGTTTCGCCCCTCCTGCTATACGGGGCTTCGTCAGGACATATTCTGAGGTTAGGAGAACTGTTTCTTAAATAGTTAGATCATGCCTCCTTCTTCCTTTCCGTTCATTGGTTCAGATTTTAGCGGATAGTGCCCCTTCCTCCAGGTGAAACCATTCATTGGTTTTATTAGACAGCACACGAATAAAAACTTTTTTTGCATATGTAGAGAGTGTTTCCCACACAGCCGTGTTTATATACAGATTTTCCCCCCTTAATTTCAATGATATGTAAGTAGTTCTCAAAGGCAATTTAACCCCATATGAGTAAAAAAGGTTGCGAGAAGATGTGCATCCATTGCCAAATTAAGCCACACATGTTATCTTATAAAAAGACATTTAGGTTGCATTCATTGTTTAACCCTATAGGCAACATCGTATTTAATCTATAGATCCACATCTTCTCCCGCTGTTGGAGGATCTTATCGAAATCTCCTCTGCAGGGTGAGAAATGTTTAGTGCATAGATGACTGACTGTAAGACCCTCCGGGACCCCCTTATGATGTTCTAAAAAGTGTTGGGCTAGGGGACTGTCTACATCTCTTCTTTTAATATCATTTAGGTGTTCACCTATTCTTACTTTTAGTTGTCTTTTAGTCTTGCCCACGTAGAATTTCTGGCATGGGCATTCAATCAAATATATGACTTTACTTGAATTGCAGTTATTAAAACTTACTATATTGAAAGATTTTGTATTTTCGGAGTTTCTAAAGGTTTTTGTTTTGTCCACGTATGGGCAAACCTGACAGCCCCCACATGGATACATGCCTTTAAGTCTTTTTTTGTAGTTTGGGAATAATTGTTTTGATGAACTAGGTGTATATTCGGAATTGACTAAACTGTCTTTTAGATTTCTTGAACGACGGGCTGTAAGTAGGGGTCTAGGACCTACTATTTTCGATATTGGTGGGCATAGATCGAATATATGCCAATGTTTTGTTAGGAGTTGCCTTAATTTTTACCAATTAGAACCATATTTCGATATTATACGTGTGTAATTATTTTTCTCATTTACTGGGCCTTCTGTTTTTAGTTCTTTATTTTTCAGAAGGTCTTTTCTTGGTCTTTGATTTGCTTTTAGTTTACTTCTTTTAATAAGTTTATGAGGGTATCCCCTTTCCCTGAAACGTTTGTATAGGTCTTTGGACTCCCTCAAGTAATCAGCAGGTTCGCTGCAATTGCGTTTTATTCTTAAAAATTGACCTGTGGGAATACCCTGTTTCAGGGGAGGGGGATGATGACTTGTCACATGAAGAAGAGTATTTGCTGACGTTTCCTTTCTATATGTTTTTGTGATTAATTTTTGATTTTTAATCTCTATTGAAAGGTCTAGAAAGGAGAGTTGTGTATTGCTTTGAGTGTAAGTGAATTTTAAATTTCTATTATTAATGTTCAGATCCCTGACAAAAGATGTCAATTGATCTTCACCTCCACTCCACACCACCAGTATATCATCAATATACCTGAGCCACGTCTTTGCGTGGCTCAGGTATAGAGGATGATTGTATACTAGCTTCTGTTCCCATAGGCCCAGATGGAGACATGAATAGGACGGGGCCCATGGGGCTCCCATCGAAGTGCCTCTAATCTGTTTATAGAACATGCCCGAGAATTGAAAGTAGTTGTTATAAAGGGCATACTCAAGTAGTTCTACTATGAATTCATTTTGAGTTGCCATAAATGGAAAATGTACATCTAGGAAATGTTCTATAGCTTTCAGTCCCCACTCATGGGGGATTGATGTGTAAAGTGATTCCACATCAATCCCAATTAGAAGGGAACCCTCATGTATTACCAGATCGTTTATTTTTCACCGTTCCCACCATGGTACTCCACGGCTGACGAACAGGAAAGGGTCAATTGCACATACGGCTAATTTGAAGCCAACGGTACCAAATCAAGGAAGACTCGATTCCATGAATACTAAACTAAAGGAGGACTGTAATAAAAGATAAATGAATGAAGGGAAACAAATCGAAAGGAAAGTGAATATACATCCCTCCAAACTAGGAAGATTGTTATACAGGAAACACACTTATATCATTAATTGATCATATGATATAATTTCATAACAAACGGAGGAAACCAGAATCACTATCATTAATCTGTCCAGATCCTTCCCTTCCACCTATACCCCGGAATATAAAGCATAATTATCCCTGATTTTTCCATCCCTGGGATATCCCCCCAGTCCATATAGCCCATGCAAGTTGGTACATAGATGGGTCACCTTGTAAAGGAATAAAGACCGACATTATCCACACATCGGTCATTACCCCTTACGGTGAAATCTATATCATGTAAGAAAGGCTCCCCGTTCTAGACATCCTAGAAAACGATTTGGTGAAGGGTCTAGGGTGAGTTGAACTAGCAGAGGGGGTATTTAAATACTTAAATTAGTACTTTGTCATTTGTTTCAAGGGCGTATACGTTTTGGAAACAGGATTTCAAAATTAGTCCAGATTTGTCACCACATTCCTGGCTCCAGCATTAGATTTCAATCTGCTATTTCTGCATGTAGTTCTGAATGGGCAGTAAAAGTGCAAAGAAGTGATCCTCACCCTAGACCTGGAAGTGGCTGAACAAGGACCTTCATGGAAGGATCAACGGGTATTATAATGAAAGCTGCAGTTTAAAAAAATATTGAAAATTACCTAAAACTACATTAACATGTAGAAGCTTATATGAGATTTTAGTGAAGGGTTCTAATTCAGCATTTATTTAAAGAAAAGAAAAAATACTGGATTATGTACTCTCCTAAGTCCAGGGTTTTTCAGACCAGTGTCATTTCCAGGTGCAGGGGACTGTGTTTGTGCTGCCAGTCCCTTTGCACTGACTTAATCACTGGATTCTGAGTGGACTCCACCACAGGACAGCCAATAGAAGTGACTACATTATGCAGGCAGTGAAGTGCACACCCAAAGGAGGACCCTGTCTCCTGTGCACAGAACAGAAAAGACTCGGGACCGCAATGTCATGTGACCATAGACTGTGGTGTGTGGTTATCATTTTGGCCCATTTCCTGACATGCTATACCACAATCCCCCTCCACAGATGCATACTCACCTCGATCTAATGACCGCAGCCTCCAGTGCTCGTTTAGATCATATGCTGCAGGTCTTCAGTGTCCTTACTGCACCTGCGGAGCAGACTGCCATAGGTTTCTGGGGGACTATACCCAAAGCATCTATGACACAGACCCAACCTTCCTTGATTTACATGGATGGTAAAGAGGGACAGGAAAAGCATATGTATTTGTCAGATTTACAACACTGCTCTCTTACAACAGCAGTTAGCAGTATTGGTACAAATGATATCTTACAGGCAAACAGATATAATGTACTCACCAATAGCTCTGGATACAGCAAGGGTACCATTGACCCGCCAGCACCCCGTATAAGTAACACAGCCACCAAGGGCTTCTATTCTTTCTCGTTCATCCTATGGGAAAGAAATTATCAATAAAAAAAGGTACCAATACAACATGCACAAACAGTAAAAGTGTGCTGTAGTTTTATAGAGCTTTTGTAGAACTTCAGTGTAGACACACTTTTCAGCAGTTCATAATATTTCCAACCTCACTGCACAAACTTCTTTAGATTTTTCAGCAATCATGTGATTGAGGGCCTACCTAAAAACATTCAGTTCAATTTGTATCCGGTGAGTGTTATTTCTGATTAATTCCACATTGATGTCCTTTAATGGTTTTAAATGCATCACCAATTTACAATTTTGGGATCCTCATTTTTTGCCAATCCGTAAGCACATGTAATTTCTAGCCTAAAAATATTATTATATGCACTTTGACCATACAGCAGGGCTTGACAAATTTGCTTTGAACCTAGGAGCCAGACAAAAAAGTTAGGAGCTAAAACTTGGTTTAAAAAAACCCCCAAAAAACAAACTTATTTTGAATGACAGTTGTAAGTTTCAATTACAGTTTTAATTGGTTCACGCGGCGATACCCGACGTGATTTGTACGCAGGTGCACCTATGTATTACCCTTAAGGCCGTGAGAGCGAAGCAAAGCTATCCGGCATGGAGCTTTGCGTGCAGTGTGTGAGCTGAGTGCAGTCAGATGATTGACAGCACCTTCAGCCAATCGGCTCGTCCGTAAAAACCTGCCAGCTGTCGCATCGCGACGCGCTGGTTTATACGCGCGAGCCGATTGGCTGAAGTTGAAATTGTTCATCTCGGCACGCTCAGCTCTGCGAGCTCTCGCAAGCTGAGGTGCCGAGCAGAAAATGACATGACACACTGCTCGCAAAGGCAGCGCGCCCCCGCTCCGCGCTGCTACGCCTTTAGTGTCACCTTTCCACTTCAATAGCTATAGCTGGGGAATAACAGCTGCCAGCTAAGGCAGCTGAATGTAAACACAGCAGGCAATGGCTGGGAGCAAAAGCCAGCCTGCTATTGGCTATTTCAAATTGCAATAGCCAATATCAGGTTGGCTGTTGCACCTGCCCACTGCTGCTGTCAATCAGCAGAGGAAGGACCTGCAACTGATAGAGGTCTCTCCTCCTGAAGGAGAAAGTTCAGGTCCCTCCTGCAATTGACAGCGTTCTCTCATCCCTGCTGGGCACTGGCTGCAGCGGTCTGTGTCCCCTCCGATCCCTGCTTCCTCTGCTGATACAGGCAGGGAGAGCAGCGAGGATCAAAGGAGACACAGACCACAGCATGCAGCGGGCTCCCAGTGGGGAGGAGCAGAGCTGATGCGGCAGCAGAGGAGGCTGACAAAAGCCCAGGCGCCAGGATGTAATTTTTAGTCGCCATGGCAACGTAGGATTTGTCGAGTCCTGTATACAGCATTGACATTTGTATGAAAACCTACATATATATGGGGTCCCTGTACTCAACATAAATGGGAGAAATTATGAAAATATGTTGCATATATATTTAATATTATCCTCCCGTTACCCTAAGGAGAACTATTGGGAAAAGCCTTAACCCCATAGTTCTCCTTTAAACTGATTTAAAAAGTATATTAGAAACATTTATATATTCAGAATACCAAGTCTCACCTCTCGCTCCGGCTTGTGGGGCTCCATGAGGGTGACTGGACTTCCCTGCTGTACAAGAAGTGCTTGGGAATCTCCCAACCAAGCCACATGCAGGCGCTCCCCTTCCAATACGGCACATACACCAGTGGTACCGCTGCGTAGTCTCTGAAGACAGATAAAACTCTAAGTCAGGTACTTGTATATCCCAATGCACCCCTCATTGTCCCCAGACTGCAACATCCCTAATCTCCTGTTAGTTGCCAAGGAGTAATCCAAATATGACAGTTTGACAGAAACTGCTTTACGTGACCGGTATGCGTATCACTTCTACAAAACTACAGTTCAGTGCAATCCAAAATGATCTAGGCGTAAGCCACAATGGCAGTAAAGTCACAAGGCAGTATATTCCCATTAAAAATATAAGGATGAAATAAGCATTGAGCTCCACTGTGATAAGGGTTATCTTACACAAACCTTGCCCAAAACATTTAGGTCCACTACGTGGTGATAAAGTACTGCAGCATGGTGGAAATTTAGATTGCTGAATCACAGAACAGAGGAAACAAGGAGAATGCTAAAAAAACTAGTTCCCCTCTCATTAAAAGTACCATACAGAACCATGGTAATTGCTCCTCCATAAGGCCCCCAAAACCGGTCTGTATAAATTGTCAGCACACAAAGCAGCTTGGTCCCTGTTCAAACTATTGACAGGCCTGGGGACACTTTATGAAATGATTACCGTAGTGTGTGCCTTTTAAATATACAAGTTTTCAAGTATCATCTACTGGGATGGAGGTTGTGATCTCAGAAATGTTTCTGCCTGTACAATGTAGAGGTTAAACACCTCAGCTGAATTTGAAAGCTGCACTCTGGGAATACTCATTATGCAAGATCATCTTCTAGCAAATTTAGGGGGGTTTCGGTATCCTGTAGAGATCATCCCTTCACAGGAGCTACAGTGCTCTATTTTCATGTGAGGATACCAGCCAGTGCACTGTCCACCTTAAAGTAGGAGGATTGCTGTTCTCCTGTTATGCAAGTGCTCTAGCATTGATGCTTCAGCACGTAGCCGATAACAGGGTTGCTCACTGCCCCACACACCCACCTACTACACCCCCAGCCACTCTCCCAGTTGCTAAGTCTACAGTCTGTTTTACGTTTTCTTTATACAGTGCTGGCACAGTACACTGATGTGATGACAACAGTACTTTGATGCTGTAGACAAAAAATTTGTGGGTGATGATGCGTAAGTTCTCTACTCCCTTCTCAACACGCACCTACAGCACCGATTTGGGCTTTAACCTTTTCGCTGCCACTGACGTAAGGTTTAAGGTGGAACACAACGGTTTCCAACTGGCTACTCAGTAAGCCTTGGTGTCTAAAGCGAACATAAAATTATGTTAGAACGGTTCCCCTGACCGCCACCCCAGAAAAAAATTAATTAAAAAAAAATGAATAAATAAAAAAAGAAAGAAAAAACACAACCCCCCCACATTATACACGTGCAACAGTGTGCACCATATTGTGGTGTACGCCACATGCGCTGCGTTGTTAGATCACATGCCAGTGCTCTTTTTCAAAATAACATTGATTGAACGCAATACACAGACGATTTTTTACAGTTTTGCGTTACTTCATCTTTTCACCGTTTTGCAAAGGCGCAATTTAAAATTTACAAATATTTGTTATTAACTCAATACAGTTTTATCTTTCAGATTGAGTCGGAAAAGTATTTTTTGTGCATGGATACCGATTTTAGTGCTTTTATCAATTTAAGTGTATTTTTATCGGTTTAATAAACAAAACATTTGCGCAATCATCGCAGGACCTACAAAAATTAGTAGCACCATCTTTTTATTCTACCGGGCCTGTGCTTTCAGAAAATATATGGTTTGGGAGGGTCTTTTACAAACTCTAGCAACACAGCAGTAGAAAATCAAAACGATGGGAACAATTGCAAAAATGGTGTTGCCAGCCTGCAGACTAGCAGGCATTAAGATCACTGTTATGCTTGTGACACAGGGGTAGGTCTGATCTTTGTGCCAGAACTTTACACTGATGTGAGTACTGAGGAACAGTGCATTGATGCTACAGGCGAGTACGTCTGTGTGATCACAGCAAAGTACACTATTCCTCTGCAGCTGCCCACAGGGTCCCTTCAGACACCCCCCAGATGGCTCCTTGGAGTTGCAGAATTGGTAGACGTGCCTACATGGCTGCAAATAATGCAGACACCTTGCAGGCCACTCCTCCTAGGTGCCGCTGATGGCTGAAGCTTTCTAAGCACTGTGATGACATCAAAGTGGGTGCCATGAAGACTATCCAGATAATGGAAGAAGGCAAGTGCAAAATTGTCCGTCTCTCAAGCAAACTATGCAGAGGGGGATAGAGGTTTGGGTAAATATTAATTTGTGCCCAGAGTTCAGCTTTACTATCTATTAATTTAGGACATCCACAGTAAAGGTGCAGAATTACATGCACCTACCTCTCTCTTTGCTTTTTTGAGGAACATAGCATCTGTACGCTGAAAGGCTTCTTTTAGGGCACGGGCCGGGTCGGACATCAATGCTTCATGACCGGCCACAGTAACATGGACATGGGTGGCAGCATAATTGGCTGCATCCAACCCACCGTGTCCATCGAAAACAGCAAAGTATGATCGTGCAACGCCATCCTAAAAATAAAGAAACCTTTTAGTACGATTAATTTTTTTTACATTAAAAAAAAAAAAGGATATCTAGTAAATGGTCATTAAATGTTACAAGCTCAAAAACATGCATAGTGGCATATATGACTACATCTGAAGATTTTTTTTTTGGCAATTTAAATATAAAAAAAAAAGAACTAAAATATATTGGCGCAAACAGCTGCATTAGTTCATTTGCAGATTGAGTACAGTTGCCCTCACACTGTTAAAATTTGTTATACTCAAAAGCCACAGCAAATGAAGTATGTGGAGTATTAAACAATATATCGCATGTCTGGTAACTGCCTTATACCAAGTGTATGTATGCAAGAGTATCACATGAAAAAGAAACGACTATTTAAGTGTATTGCGCATATCAGTCGCCAGGTCACCATGAAGACAAAAAAAAAATCCTTGCTGGCCAGGATGGTCATTTCCAGGGCTGGCTGACGATTCTGTATCTTGATTTATTCCAGACATTCCCCTTTCCATCCCCCGGATTGCTTTTAAAAGAACTATATAGATGCTGCTGGGATAGGTAACAGAGCTTAGCTGATGGCTAGCTTTGCTCTTCTCCCCTCCTTCCACCACATGAAGTAGAATAGGGTGACATGTCTTGTGTGGCCCAGTAGGAAAAGGACACTGTCACTGCAAATGAGAAGTAGAGGGTTAAGGGGAGGCGTTGTGGCAGCACTGAGAACTGGACTTGCTGCCTGCAGTGTAAGTTGGAAGGGATTCCTATCTGCTTATCTAGCAGTGATACATCAGGACAGTATTGTAAAAAAAAATTTAAATGAAGCCTTAAATAACCCCAGATAGGGGATGCACTGATACCAGAATCGGTATCGGTGTCAATATCCAGTATTTGGGCGAATACTCGCCCAAATGCTCCTGATGCCTATCCCTGTACTGGAGCTCCTGGTATCAGGAAGGCAGGAGGCAAGTCATTACAAACTGCCCGGCTTCCTGATTGGCCAGAAAGCCGACACCATGCTCCCTCGTCACCAGGGAGTTGGCTTCCTGATTAGTCGGGAAGCTGGCCAATCAGGAATACTGATACCGCATGTCCCATTAAGAAAGCTGGGAAGCAGGCGACAAGTCATTACCCGCCCTCCGGCTTCCTGATTGGCCAGAAAGCTAGCTTTATGCTTTGTCACCTGGTGACCATAGGATTTCCGGCATCGGTGAGTACCAGGAAAGAAAAAATATCGGTACTCGATACCGAAAAAAAACACGGTATAGGTGCATCCCTAACCCCAGAGTTTATTATTTAGGTTAGGGTAGCTTTAAATCACTATGGATTTTATGATTTCACTAAAGAATAGTAATAATTTGAGGATTTGGCCATTTTTACATTGTCCACATGCAGCTATTATTGCAAATATTTAATCCAAACAAAAAAATTATTTAATTTTTGTTTCAAATATTTGAACCATAACATTCAGGTTGATTTATTGCAGTGGCAGAATCTCCACAGTTCCTGAATTTGCCAACCCTCTCCACCAAAAGCACATTACTGTCAGATTAAGGCTGGGTTCACACCAAGGCGACAGCATTTTTGCATTTCTACGCACGTTTTTGATGCACCCTTTATGCGCATAAATCAAGTCTCGTGTTTTTGTGAGTAGATTGTAGCTCATTGATGTTATTGAGCAAACGCATGTAAAACAGCACACGTGCGTTTTCAAGCGATTCCTATTGAGTCTATGGGGCCAAAACGAGCCGTAATATGCCAAAAAAAAAGCTCATGTACTTTTTCCAGCGACAGGGATTTTGCTCATTTCAAAAAATGCTCAGATGTGACTGGTGTGTCTAGGTATAGGGGCAGCAGTACAGACATTCCCAGCAGCAGCTTCTGTTAGGGAGAAAATGATCGTCCAGGGAAAAAAAAAATTGCAACCCAGCTTATTGATTCTCCTCCTCAGAAGCCTCAGGCAGGCTGTCTGCAATGGTCGGGTAGTATCTTCACACATACAAATGTTACCCCGAATTGACTGTAAATGATAAAACATACAGATTCTCTGATGTCTCTAGACAATTGATCAGGCAGGTCAGTCTCCCTGAAACAATGCTCTCTCTCCATGTGACCGAGCATTTATCTTTGCAGTTACTAAGGAATCTAAACAACTGTAGTGACAAAATCAGCCACCAGATGGAGAATATATCTGTAGATAGAATACAATACTGGAATATGTTTTAATAATGCGTAATCACCATTACGGGGTTTTATTTTTTACTATATAAAATGAAAAAAAAGTACAGAAAATTTGGGGGAAAAAAAATGGTTTGCCCTACGTTATGTTATAAAACAATTATTATTACCCACATTTTTGGCAAAATATAAAAGACGGGGTCACATCGGGTAAATAGACACCAAACATGTTAAGCTTTAAAATTGCATGCGTCTGCGAACTCGCAAAAACTACCATACCCAAAATTGACCATAGGCAACGCTTTAAAAGCTTTTACCGCTCATCAGGTTAGTGTTATCAGTGATTGATGGGCCTAGAATTATTGCTCTCACTGCAACATTCGCGGCGATACGTAACATGTGCGGCGTAATGGATGCAATCGTCGTTTACGCACTGGCGCACTCCATGCATGTTTGGGGGGGACTTTAAAAACATTTTTACATTTTTTTAATTACCTCTATATGTGACTTAATTTTTTTAATATATTTTTTGTAACTAATTCTTTTAAACATTTTTTTCCCCACTTAACTTTATTGCTATTACACAGGGGACTAACAAGCCACCTTTGTGATAACCAATTTTCAGTGACAGGTCCTCTTTATGGAGACATCAGGGGTCTTTAAGACCCCTAATGTCACCTAGGGACCCCCAGAGAAGCTGATGAAGCAAACGCCTGCTTCACCAGCTTCTTTCCGGTTTCTGTACGGGAGAGTGACAGTGAATGCAGGAAGTGATGTAATACACATCACTGCCTGCATTCCGAAGAGGAGGAGGAGATCAAACGGAGATAGTGTACTGAGCTCCGCTTGATCTCCGGCCGCAGAGCTGGTCCCGGGCTCACACCGGGCACAGCGAAGCTCGGGACCACCAGCAGCAGAGGGGAGGGCGCACACCCGCACGCATATTACAAGCGATCGGGCATCTCTACACACGCCGGAATGCTTGTATGTAAACAGCCATCACGGCTATTTACATTGCAGGCTGATTTCCCGCTCGTGTGCGCCGCTCAAACGCCCACCCGGATTCAAGAAGCCGCTGTCCGGCTGTTTAATTACAACGGCCGGACAGCAGGTGGTTAAATGAACAGAGCTGGCAGCCAATGAGCTGCTGGCTTTATTGGGGTATTCTGACGGTGGCCGTCAGGATACACTGCAAACTGTGGGAGATTCCTCAAAGTGTTGGAGGAATCTATTATATTTTCTTTGTTCAGCCCACAGGTTGAAATAAAAAAATATTACAGTGTATGGGCAGCTTTGGATGCATGCAGGGTGTTCTTAACCCATATACAAGGTCAATGGTATGTTTAGTAAAAGACAGATAAGCAAGAATATCAAGATAACCAGAGGTGTAAATATTTCAAAGTTCAAATTTCCTGACTACATTGCATAAGGGATCCCTGCTTTATCCATCTAGGGCAATATATGTACATCAATAGCATTTACATACACACACCAGATGTAAACAATGTCAATGTATGACCAGCATAAGCTGTTATGCATAATATACATAAGACAGGCAATGAACTCTGGAGAGAACAAACTATTACAGAATTGAAAAGGAAAATAATGCTGTTTTATTTTTTCAGCTGCAAAGGATCAACAAGAAACGTTATCTCCTAAGGTTATGGTCGACAGTTTTCACTTCCTTAAAATGTACTGTGGTTTTGCATTTCCTTATTTTTGCCATATGTGCAAAAACTATTTAACAGCAACAAGAAAAAGAGACGAGGGTGAATATGGCGTTTTCTGGTTTCAATACTTGACACAATTAAGCAGCAAATTGTGTGACCTCAAAACTCCACATCTGCATGGTGGCTCCACGTCAGTGAGTGACAAAATATTAACATTGATGACGTTGATTTACTATTGGAGTAGAGACCGTTCAGGTTACAAAGTGAATGCTGGTAAATAAGGTGAATCTGTGTTCACTTTGCATACTCGAACAGAAGATAAACAAAAAAAAAACATACAGGCTATAGAGGAGCAATCATTGTGTAGCAATGCAAAGTAAAGAAAGCTGAGTATGTAATGAGCAAATATGGCTGCCTCCATGTTCATATATATTGATAGATTATAGATAGAGCCAAATTTTTTAAAACATGTACATACATTTGATAGTATTTACATCAATCTGACCTCTTTTACATTACGTAGAATACAGGCTATATATTCTTGTTAAAATTAGAGCACCATGGAAGAGTAAACAAAGACGCTGAATAAAACATTATACAAAACCTTACAAAGAAAGCAGCCGTTACATATTTACCGTAATTCCAAAAAGCTGATTAAAATCCAACAGTGTCACATGCCGGTCCTCCATTTTCCTTCGTGTATTTCGGACTGCATGGGCAGACACATATAATGTACATATAGAATTAGGTGGAGAAGGTAGCTGCTTTTGCCACTGACTGCTGATATCTTGGACACTGGTAAGGCAATGCTGAAATAAGGCATCTGAGCTGAGGACTAAAAGACAAAACAAATCAAGTGTTAACCTCCTTGGTGGTATGATTTTTCCCAATATTTTTAGTGTCCGTTTTGTTTTTTTTACATTTCCCGCTGGTTCCGCCCCACTGCGACACGGCCGCTCGCAAGGGACGGAACCCGGAAGACGGATGCCGGCATCCGCCGGAGGACACACCGCGGCTCATAGGGAGAAGGTAAGTGAAGTGCTGTGTATTCCCGAGTGTGGCTCGGGGTTACTGCTTTTGGTACTGAAAATTAACCCCGAGCCACACTCGGGAATACCGCCAAGAAGGTTACCATGCAGTAAGGGTTTGTCAAAGTCATTGTTCATAGGCTGCTCAATTTGATTTTTCAATCTTCAACACTGAAACTTTTATACTGTGCATTTCCAAAAGATTGGAGTAGATCTTTACATTTACAAAAGGTGAAACAAGTAAATATTTTGCTGATCATTATAATTAGCCCCCTTAAAACAAACTTGCTAGTAAAAAGGAAAACAATTATTTGGATTGGGACAGCAGGAATGTCCTTTAAAGTGAACCTTTACCTCCTTTTACGAGAAATCACATCAGCATGCAGCTCTGCATGCCAATTTAAAATCATCTTACATTCATTAGTTAACCACTTGAAGTCCGCGGTGTTAAACCCCCTTCCCGTCACGTCGCGTCATTAGAGTGCACTGAACAATAGATTTACAATTATCCTCTGCTAATATGAATGGGTTAAATGATCCGTAGTACATGATATGTAGCCCTGTACCCCCTTTTCCACTTACAGAGCTAGGTTATTTTTCTTTTAAATAAATATTAATGTAATTTTATTGGTATCTATCTACCAGTAGCTGCCTCATTTCCCACCCTCGGCTTATATTCGGGTCAATACTTTTTCCCAGTTTTTTTTGCTAAAATTAGGTACCTCGGCTTATATTCGGGACGGCTTATACGCGAGTATATACGGTATTTTTTAATAGATTAAGGAAAAATTATCGAAAATTTTTAAAAAAAACAGTTTCCCCTATATTAAATGATAAAACATTTATTACCCAATTTTTTGGTAAAATATAAGAGACGGGGCTACGTCGGGTAAATAGACACCAAACATGTCAAGCCTTAAAATTGCGCGCGCGAAACCTCAAAGAACTACAATACCCAAAATTGGCCATTGGCGACGCTTTAAAAGCTGTTACCGCTCATCAGTTTAGTGCTATCAGTGATTGATGGCCCTAAAATTATTGCTCTCCCTCAGACGTTCGCGACGATATGTAACATGTGTAGCGCAATTGTCGATTTCCCGCGCTGGCGCAGCGAACGCGTATTTACGTTTATATGTGCGTAAACGTGGGGGAACTTAAAAATGTTTGGGGTTTTTTTTAACTTTTTTTATATGCGACTTATTTTTTGTAACTTTTTTTTTACTAAAACTGGAGCAGACACTGAGGCGGTTGCCCATAGCAACCAATCAGCTTCTCTGTTCAGTGGAGCTTGGAAAATGAAAGATAGAAGCTGTTTGGTTGCCATGGGCAACTACTCTAGATTCTGTCTGCTCCAATTTTGATAAATTCCCCTCAATATGCATTAACACAGTACACTGGAACAGCAACGTGTAAATGGGTCGTTGCTGCTGAAAGTAAGGGGTTGGGAGTGAATTGCTTCTTTCAATAAAGTGATGCTGTAGGGTAATATACTGTTTAAAGGGGTGTATTATGCAAGGTGTACTAAATTTGTGTTGTTCTTACAGTAAAACAAGCGTTCACAGATTCCCAAAGATAGTTTCCGTGTTACTTTGTCCAATGATTGTACTTTATTTAGGAAATCTAGGGAAAGCGCTAGTTGCTCTCTACTCAGTAAGGATGCATACTAACAGTAGCTTTCCTTCAATCCAAACATGGGGCCAAAATGCTCACTCATAAGAATCACATGCTAAAGATGGACATCCTTTTGTGGTGATATACAAGGAATTGGCATCCTTTTGTGGTGCACCAAGTAAGGAGTATGGGTTTAAAGGCTGCATAACTGGGCCCATGACTTGTGGAGTGCCCATTATGATTAAATAAGAATAAAAAAAGGTGAAAAAGTCAGCCACTGTACCCATGCCAACAACGGAAAAAGAGAATCTCCTGACTTAACAAGGGTAGATTCAAGTTTTTAAAATTGTTCCACCTGTGGAAAACCCCTTCAATTTCCCAGGAATATAAAATGAAAAACTACCTGGAACCAAAAAAAAATACAACTAAGGTGGCAGTGATTTACCTTTAAAATGCGATTACCCTACAAATTTACAAAAAACCCATACAACTTTTTTTAAACCTTGACTATCAAGCAGATCAAAAAATACAGACAATGCACCATAACCCTATGAGGCAAAGCTCGACAGAACAACAAAAACGATACTCACGATCTTCAGTGTCACCATCTTTTTGTGATCCCTCTATCACATCCCCTTTCCTTTCCACGAATGAAGACAGGTCACTCTGCAGTGCCTGGTCAACAGCAGCCCTAGTTAGGCTGGCAGCAAGCCATGATGGACCACCTCTGTATAAAAACAGAAGTTAAATAAGATATCAGTGAAATCTCAAATGTCACAAATAATTCATTTTAATGACCTGTGCATTTGGTATCTATAGAAATGGGAAGAAAATCTTATACAAACTATAAAGTATTAAAAGGCAGACCAAATGGCCAGACATAACTAAAACTTCAGTGGCTCAATCTGCAAAAGATTTGGCTACCCACAGTTATTAGGAACAGATATCACAATACTAGATTTGGTCGTGACAACAGCAGAAGTGATACAAGTAGTGCATGTACAGGCCAATATACCAGACACACAACTACATGCTTCACCCTAGCCTGATATCAGACATCCTGAAAAGTTTGCTTTTAAAACGTTTATGTCGGCTAGAGCTATGAGGTGAGTGGAAATCACTCATCTCATAGTTCTCCTTTCAGTAGTAAAAAAAATAAATATATTGGCCTTGGGTAAACTGAAACTAGTGTTATGCATGTTCTGATATAACAATGGTATTTAGCAGGACATGGAAATGTGAATAAAGATTTCTGTTGGTTTCACTTAAAGTGACAAAGTCAAAAATGTTTTTCCCTCCCCCCCAAATGTTAATGTTAGCACTTACCTTAAATGATGTCTCTTAATCCGATCTTTTTCTTTCATGTCCTTTTCCTCTGTCGCTCCAGCGGTGCGGCGGGTCTCCGATCCAGCACTGATTCCTCTGAGCTTGCTGGCACTTCCTGTCCCACGGTGTCTGCATGCGGGTGCACACGTCCATAGACTTACCTTGTGTCTATCCTCGCGTCCCAGCCGAAAATGTGATCTGCACATGCGACCACCCCAAGATGCTTTGCAGCCGCCCGAGATTTTTCACATTTTCGGACGGGAGCGTGCAGGGAAGACACGGGTAAGTATTTACTCTTTTCAAAGCGTTTTTTTTTTTTTACACTTTTTGCATATATCTACTGCTTGGTGGCAGTAGATATATGCAAAAAACACCCTGTATACTGAGCTTAGGGTGACAGGAGGACACTAGTTTGTGTCCTCCCGTTACCCTAAGGAGAACTATGGGGAAAAGCCTTAACCCCATAGTTCTCCTTTAATTCCACTGGATGAATAAATAAAACATTTTTCTGCTAGTGACATCAACCAGGATCTAGAAATAAAAACGGTTACTCATTGGATGATTGTATTCTTTGTGAAGGCTTCATGCCAGGAAATGCCATCGGTGGAAGGAAGTCTGAGAGGAAATGTTGTCATAGCAGGAAGCATGATGAGACAGATGCAATTGTAATGCAGAGGAAACATGCCAGGAACAACAGTAGAGGCAGCGGACATAATCGCCACAGTATCAGCAAGGGAAGAGCCTGTATCACAGTATCCACTGATAACATCACAGGCTACATACAGACACTGACACAACTAAACTAATATGCAAGTGAGAAGAAAAGCGACCCAAGAGGTGATGGGTTGCTAGAATGTATTTCATTTATGTTAAAGCAACAATGTGGAGGATGTTACACCAAATTTTCTCTTGCGTTCTCTGTACCCTCAAATGCTAACTTTCCATCTGGCTGTGAAAAAAAACAGAGTTGACACATTAGTGACATCAGTTGGAATTCCCTTAAATGCAATGAGGTGAGGAGACTGCCAAAAAAGACTTAAAGTGTATTTCCACTTTCGCAGCCAAATTTGGATAACACCTACTTTATATGTTACATGTTCCCATTCACACAATTATTTACAAATTACCATTTTAAATACTCACTTCTGGAAACTGCAGGAACGAAAAATCCTGCTAGTTCTCACAGTCTGAGGGGGCACAAGTCTGGATGGGCTGCCTGCTTTATACTATAAGAGGCTCTCCGAAATGTTGGTCCCTCACCTGGAGATGTTTTTTTAACGACCTCCATTTGGGGAGATCTCTACACTCGGATTTAAAAAGAGCGTTCCTTACGGTCATTCCTAAACCCAATAAAGCCACAGGGGGAAAAAATCCAACTATAGACCTATCTCTTTGATTAATAATGATTTGAAACTCTTAAAAGGAACAATACTTGCTAACAAATTGTATGCTTTTCTTCATTCCTATATCCACAAGGATCAGGTGGGCTTTATTATGAGGTTGACTGGGACCTGACCAGGTTGGGAGAGCGATTGACATAACTTTGTTCCAATCACGATGGGATGGTGGCCCACAGCAATCCGGGCTTCTTTATAAAAGGCATTTAACTTGGTGTCCAGGTATTATCTATTCCCCTTGCTGGAAAGGTCAGGCTTTGCCCCCCCCCCCCTTCTACGCTTAATACAGGCACTTTACACCAATCCTTTCCGCACAGATTTGCAAGGATACCTGTCGGAACCCTTTTGTATTTCTAAGGGCACTCGACAAGGTTGCCCTCTTTCTCCATTATTGCTTGCTATTGCGATTAAACCCTTGGTTATCGCTTTATGCGAAAGTGTAGATATCAGGAGAGTGTGCTGTGGCTCACATGGCACAAATGTGCCATGTTTGCTGCTGATATGCTTTTGTTCTTAAGGTCTCCGTTGACTACGCTCCCTAATGTTTTAAAATTACTGGATCTGTTTGCAAAAATATCGGGGTTGTAGGTCAATACCTCTCTATAGCTAATCTATAGCTCTTAATGTCAATCTCCCTCCGGACATATGGTCCAGCTTGACTAGACACTTTGGGTTCCCATGGTCCAATGACCCCTTACAAAATTTTGGAATTAAACTTACGCCCTCCTTTACCCAGCTATATAACAGGAATTACTCTCCATTATGTCAACAGCTTCAGGAGGACATGCCTAGATTAGCTTCTTGTACTTTGTCATGGTTGGGTTGTATTTCATGCAATAAAAATTACCTTACTCTCAAAAATGTTATATTACATTCGTGCTTTACCTATAAGTTGTATGTAGGGGGGGACTTTGGAAATTTCAATCTTCTATTTTCAAATTTATCTGAAACGGTCAACACCCTAGGCTCCTCAAAATGGTTCTATTTAAGTCTAGGAAATTAGGTGGATTCGGGGTACCCAACATTATTCAATACTACAGGGCAGCGTAGCGAATGCAACTTTCCTCGGTTTATTGCCGGGGAACATTCCTGATTGGATCTCGATGGAATCTTTGTCTGCTTTGGGCCTCCCTATTGATTTATTGAAATGGTTGACTGCTAACCAGAGGCCGGTAATTTTAGCGCCGACACAATCTCACTCGTTAGTCTAATGGGACCGTATTCGTATTATTGTCTTATACTCCTCTTGCACACATTTTCTGTAATCCTGTTTTTTCTCCAGGAGAGCAGCCCAGAGTGTTTCATAGGTGGATGGATAAAGGTTTATACCGTATTGGGCACTATTTTAAAGGATAGGAAGTCCTCATCATTGACTTATTGTCAGAATACTTTACATATGCCACCTTCCGAACTATTTCACTTTAGACAATTACGTCACTTTTTATGTTCTTTGCAAATGCCTGGAACTGCTTCTCCTTTTAAGACCCTTTATGAAAGATGGTGCCTTCAACATGGAGGTCAAAGGGGTGGCATCTCACTCATTTATTCTCTTCTTGTAGAGTCTAATTCTAAGTTAGCTTCTATGCTATTCCCAAGGAACCAGTGATCAACAAAGTATAGACATTAAACTGACCAGCCTACTGGCATACTCGGCATTTGTAATATAACTTGAAGACTTCTCAGACTACAGCACACCTTAATTAGTGCTTGTCATATTGTATACCACTCCATAAAACAAAAATGTGTTTAACCTAAGCAGGTTTCTTCCTTTAAAACAAGAGTAGACCAAATATCGCTCATTCCACCCGTGTGCTTTTACAGAGTTAGACAAGGAAGAGACAAGTTGTATAAACTAAGTATGTGTGGTATGATAGGTATGAAGGTTGGGCCTGCTGAGACATCTGACTGCTTATTCGAACACAGTCACATAGGTCTTCATAGCCAACTTCTCTTATTGAGCGATTTGCTGTTCAGTACTCACAAGGTTTAATGATCTGTAATAATTAATACAGGGGGGGAACATGGGTACACAAACCTGCAGCATGCAGCTGGCTTCTGAGAGCTGCAGTGGTGGGGTGGGGGTAGAGTGTGTGTTGGGGTAGTTTAAAATTAGCTGACCGTCTGTGTAGGAAGAGTTAGTTGCTATATGAAAGCAGAAGACCACAGGCACGCGGGTCTAGTAAGCATGGGCAGGGACATTATATATTCTTCACAATAAAGTGGTTCAATCTTCTGGCAGCTGGGAGGGATGAAGAAAGGGACACACTGCTGGAGGTGCTGCCATGTGTCTTTTCTGATGTGACCTGCACTCCCTCCTCACTGGCCTCATTCTCCGATTCCTCTGAACCAGCAGTCCCTCTCAAGCACCCCAGAGCATATGCAACGTCCCCCGTCTGAACACATTCCCCTATTTCTAGCTGTTCCACTGGTTTTCCGTAATGTTTCTGACTCGGTTCCTCCTCGACAATTCAATTATGGGACCATCGTGATCTTGTCCACTAGTACATATACATTATTTCAGGTGATTCTTGGCTTGAAATGGTGGAAAGCTTCTCTCAACGCGTCTAGTTCTCCTACATTCATTAACTGAAGTGAAGGATGAAGTGTCAATTCCCCTCAGCAATGTCCTCACAACCCCAGGAGCTGGCATCTGTAATCATTTTTGCTTTAAATGGGCAGTCGGCCTATTGACAGGTGTTCTTCCTTGCTCCACCATATTATAGATTCTCTTACCCAGGTTATCACTTCAGTCCGACCACTTCTTTAGAATTAGGCTTTGTAAGGGTCTATTGGTATGCCAGCTGTCACGGTCCACAGGATTTAAATAGTCTTTCTGATGGACAGTGAGGAAGACTTGCTCGCTGTTGCGCTGAATCAAGGAAGTACTGACTTTTCTCAATTCAGGATCCAGCCTATATCGAGAAACAGGTTTGTAGTTACCTGTAGGTTCTTACTGACTTTTTCTGGGGACGGTGAGAACAAAAGGAAGCTGTCCATTTATTGC